GTACGGCTTTTAGGGGGAACCCCACAAGGGTCTGGTTTGAATGTTGAATCGGGAGGGGAACCTCACGCTTTTTTTTTTTTCTTCTGCAGACTGTAAAAAAAAAATTAATTACATGTTTTTTTTCCTTTTATCTAATGTCACTTTGCTGCGACAAAAATTTGTCCAGAACAAAAAATTTGTACATACTACTAGTAACGAATTTAGTCCGAATCCCGAAATGAATTGGCTTTCGGACCCAAATCCCGAAAATCAAGACAAAACAAATTTTTTGCCGGTGTCTAAAAATAACCTGACACTGGGTTTTCATCTTTCTGTGCACTTTCCAAACTACAAAAAAAGTTTGGACTATACATGCACTTTAAGAATAGGGCATAGCAGACCATAGCGGCTCTTTAAAAATTCAGGTGAAACCTGATTGGTTGTTAAGCCAAATTCTGGGCTCAAAAATATTGAAATATATTCCTGAAAAGCCTGTAATACAAATCCACTGCTTGTGCACCAAATGCTTTGCACACACAAGTGTTACCTTGTAAGAGCAGCAGTGGCATCATCAGCTGTGTAGAAAGCAGAGCTGTGGGTGGGACCCATCAGGCCCCATCCACTACATGAGGGGGCGGATATAAGACCAGTCACCCTGCACAAGCAGGAGGAGAAGTGAGTGGTCTTTATTACATGAAGCTTCTCACAATAGATTACTGCACAGATCAAGAAGAAATACACAAAACACACCAAGATTCCAGGAAGAATACACACGACTCTTGTATTTATATCATATTTACTTATCCAGGAGTTCAACTCTAAATAAAGCTTTGATTTGTTGTGGTCAGATGGAAAAAGTGCAACAGATTGGCCCAGGTGGAGATTACTCCATCCACACAGTTAAGTGTAGATGGAGGAATCTGTTGCACCTTTTCCATCTGAACACAGAAATAAATTGTAAGGTGTGTGGGCAGCTTTACTGTACAACAAATCCGCGAGCCTTATAGCCCAACACAATAAAGCAAGAGAAGGATGCACTGCAACTCCTATCTGTGTTATAAGATGACGAGTCTTCCACGAGATGCTGACAATCAACCAACACAAATACAAATATGTCTAATCATTGTGTGTGCGTTTCATCATTGTGTGTGTTTTCACTTGTCTTCTCAGCTGCTGCACTTCACATGTTCCACAGGATGAAAAATGCGTGAGGTGGCTGCGACTCCTCCAATCGCTGGCTTAGGTTAGACCCACTGCCATTAATCAGCAATGACTCAGGGAGATAAAATGGCTGTTTATTTTATCAAGCGACAAGTTCCATTTATCATCAGACAATAAGAGTACAGAGATCCCGTACAGCCATCATTTCCATTGTCAGCCCCCCTTCTAGAGACAGACAATAAGAGTACAGAGATCCCGTACAGCCATCCCTCCATTGTTAGCCCCCCTCTAGTGACAGACAATAAGAGTACAGAGATCCCGTACAGCCATCCCTCCATTGTTAGCCCCCCTTCTAGTGACAGACAATAAGAGTACACAGATCCCGCACAGCCATCCCTCCATTGTTAGCCCCCTTCTAGTGACAGACAATAAGAGTACACAGATCCCGC